GATTTCTGCTACCTCATCAGTGTGGGAAGGGAGAGCATTTCAGAAGTGATGCAAAGGCTTTGAAAGAAAATATCTTTTCTCTCGTTGAGTGCAGAACTTGGCCGTCACTGCCTGGGGACCGGGGAGCCAGTGCAGAGCAGACGGGGCCTGGGGGTGCCGGACTGCACGGGCTGCCCTGAGGGTGGGGGGGGAGGTGCAGAGTCCTGTTTCACTTCACGCCCTTGAGACTCACGGGCAAGGGAGAGCAGGCTGGGGGCCGTGGCAGAGCCAGGCCAGGCTGGGCACTCTCCCTGAGGCCCGAGAGGGAAAGGACATGGAAACACAGGGGTGTCGGAGGCGCTGGCCGGTGTCCCGAGGGGGACCGTCCCACCCCCGCCCCCAGTGGCGGAGGCATTCCCGTCCCCGCCATGACTGTGCGGCTTCTTGTCTTCCAGGTTCTGTTTGGATTCTGCCAGGCAGACCCGACAGAGACTGTCCATCAACTGGTCCAACTTCAGCTTGAAAAAAGCCACCTTCGCTGCCCACTGAACACGGATGCTGAGGGGGCTGCGCGGTGGCCAGCCCGGCCCCTCCGACGAGAGCCTGCTGCGAGCTCGCGTGCGTGTTGTCTGTGCGTGAGCCAGCCGGACGAGCCGCCCCCCGCGCCGCCGGCCTTCTGCGTTCCGCCCCGTCCTGCCACCTGCCCCTGGGGGGTCTCCGCTCAGCTCCGCCCGCGTCCGCCCGAGGGCCCGGGTGGGCGGGCCCGCCGTCCTCCACAGTCCACTGTCCAGAGTGTACACGTCGCGCGTCCGTGTCTGACCCCCGACTTGTAGCCAGCTTGTGTAAGACCCCCGCAGAACGAGACCGTTCCGAGCAAACACCCACCAGTACTCACACCATGAAGTCTGTAGAGTGTACAACTGTATTAACACGGAGCCTGCCTGGCTACTTTTTTAACATATTGTTAAGTAATATTAAAATCATGTCTTTCTTTTTGAAAGATGGAATACATTAGTACAGCAGGAGACCTGGTCTGGTTGCTTTGTGCGGGGGTCGGGGGTCGGCGGTCGGCGGGGGCCGCCTGCGCCGTTCCAGCGCTGGTATCCTCCCGCCAGCTGGGCCGGGCCTCCACGGGCCAGCACCGCCCGGCCGGCCCCCGGCGCTATCAGGGGGCTGTGGCGGGGGGCACAGCAGACGGACGTGGGCTTCCCCGCGGCGGGGGTGTGGGGCCCTGACACAGCGACGAAGACTGGAAACGTCTTAACGGGGCGCAGGTGAGCGGCACAGGCCAGTGCAGTGAGGAGTCCCAGCGGCCCTTCCTTGAGCCCCGTCAGCAGGAAGCCAGCGGAGCTGCTGTCTGCTCAGCCCGGCTTCCCTCACCCCCTGGAGCACGCTGGAGCTCCTGCTGCTCCGGCCCCGGGGGAAGCGGCTTCCGCACGTCCCTGAGGAGGGGACCCATTGAGAGCCCGCCTCCGTCTGGCTCTTCGCTGGCGAGGTAGGGGGCCCGGCCCTGGCGGTGTCTGACGACCCCCGGGGCGCCCAGGGAGCGGGCTCAGGAGGCGGGCGGGGCTGTGGTCACCATGGGAGGCCCTCCCCCTCACGGGCCATGCAGATGGGACGTGGTCTGAGCCCCAGACCAGGCCGGGGGGGCAGGCGAGGGCGGCCGGGGCCGGGGAGGGGCCTGCATGGCTCTGCTGCTGGGGCAGCCCTGACTGGGGGCCGGGGTCCAGGAGGGGCCGGCAGTTGCGGGGAGCAGGCGAGGGCAGCAGGCGGGAGGGTTTGGTCGAGTGGCGGGCTGGGCTTTCCTGGGCGTCGAATGGTCCAACAAAGGGAGAAGCAGGCCGGGCCGTGACCACGGCTGGGGTCCTCAGAGAGGCACAGACCCCACTGCGTCCCTGGACCCCCACCAGGGCCAGACAGGGTGGAGCCGGTGTCCACTCGGGCTCAGACCAGCCGGTGCCCCCCTGTTCCCTGGGTGCTCCCCACCTTCCACACCCGCTCCGCCCAGCGGTTCTGGTCCCTTGCACGTCTCGGCCTCCTGGCCCCCATCCACCTAGACGCTGTCCCGTCTCCTGGAAGCCAGCTGACCTGCAGGACCACCCCTAGCATTCCTCATCCCTCAAGAGGGCGTCTCAGGAACAAGAAAGAGGGTGGATTCAGGCCCCAGGAGGCTGAGGCCCCGGGGTGAGGCCGGGTCTTCTCCCGGTCACGGCAGTTACAGCTGGGGGCACAGGGCCCAGGCCCGTGGAGAGAGCCCGAGATGTGCCCAGCGAGGTCACTGCCCAGCCTCGGAGGGCCTCCTGCCGGCCACAGGGGTAAGTGAGTGACCTGTAGATGAAGCAAAGTGACTGTGGGAAGAGAAACAGCAAAGTGGGCTTTTATTGAAACCTGCCGCCTACATACTCATCGCATTAAACCAAAATGTGGCAGTTCTCAATTTCATTAATGCATTCCTTTTTTAAGGAGAAGAAAAAACACTGCACAGTCCATACTGTTTTACTGTCTTCAACACCAAACCTTAAGTCATCGCAGAAAACGACAGAATGGAAGCGACTTCCTGCTTCATCTTCACGATCACAGGCAGGCACCGCTCCTGTTCATTCAGTGCTGGGGGAAACAGCCGTGCAGGCCGGGAAGAAGTTCCGAACGGTCTGAGCTCTGAAGGACTCGCTCTCCAAGCGGAACGCGTGGCAGAGGAGGGTGGGCACGGGGCAGGCAGGTGGGCGCCGTGCGGTGTCAGCCGCGGGCTGAGTGCACTGAGCTGGGGCTGTGACTCCGGACGCTGTCTGGGCAGGGAGAGCGGCGCAGAGCTGTGTTTCCTGAGGGAAGGGCCCCCGCTTCCTGCCTGGAGGCAGCACAGGGAAGAGCCCAGCAGACCAGCGTCCCGGGTGCCTGGGGCTCCCAGACAGGAGGGGCCTGCGGAGGGGTAAATTCCATGAGCCCCGGGGGAGTTTGCATCACCCAGGGCGGAGACCGGGGGACACACGGGCAATGCGTGGAGTCCCCCGTGGGGTCTGAGCTGCCCCTGGATGGAATCTAAGGCTGGACATGAGCCTTAGAAGGAGCAGAGCGGGCCTGCCGGCAGAAAGCCCGCCCGTACTTAACACTGTCCCGCATGACGAAGTACAGCTCAAAGTGTTAGGACCCAGGCCATGCCAAGAAGGGGACTGTGAGCCATGAGCAGAAGAAACATCAAACAAGCAAGAGAATCAGAACCAAAGATGGTGAGTCTGAGAACCTTAGAACATCTGTTAAAATCTTATGACTGCTCAAACATATAAAGGAAAGTGTAAACGAGATGAAGAGCTGGACGCTGCAAAAAAATACCAAATCCAAAGGGAGAAAAACAGTGTCTGAAATGAACAATACCCAGGATACAAGTAACAGCTGACTAGAAACTCTGGAAGGGAATACCTGTGGACTCAATGACAAATAAATAGAAACTACAAGAAATGAGAACTGACCTTTTCCAGTCCTGTGACCACTGCTGCGTTTTCCAAATGTGCTGGCATATTGAGAGCAGCACTTTCACAGGGTCATCTTTTAGGATTTGAAATAGCTGAGCTGGAATCCCATCACCTCCACGAGCTCTGTAGTAATACTTCCGAAGCCACTTGACTTCTCATTCCCAGATGTCTGGCTCGAGGTGAGTGATCACACCACCATGGTTATCTGGGTCATGAGGATCTTTTTTGTACAGTTCTGTGTATTATCACCACCTCTTCTTAAATCTCTTCTGCTTCTGTTAGGTCCATACGTTTTCTGTCCTTTATTGTGCCCATCTTTGTATGAAATGTTCCCTTGGTATCTCTGATTTTCTTAGATCTCTCATCTTTCCCACTCTATCGTTTTCCTCTATTTCTTTGCATTGCTCAATGAGGAAGGTTTTCTTACCTCCTTGCTATTCTTTGGAACTTTGCATTCAGATGAATATATCTTTCCTTTTCTCCGTTGCCTTTCACTTCTCTTTTCTCAGCTCTTTGTAAGGTCTCCTGAGACAACCATTTTCCTTTTTGCGTTTCTTTCTCTTAGGGATGGTTTTGGTCACCACCACCTGTACAGTGTTAGGAACCTCCGTCCATAGTTCTTCAGGTCCTCTGTCTGCCAGATCTAATCCCTTGAATCTGTTTGTCACCTCCAATAATATAATTGTAAGGGATTTTTTTTTAAGGTCATATCTGAATAGCCTAGTGGTTTTCCAAGTTTTCATCGTAATCCCACAGAAGGGCAGTGCCAAAGAATGTTCAAACTACCACACAGTTGTGCTCATTTCACATGCTAGCAAGGTAATGCTCAAAATCCTTCAAGCTAGGCCTCAGCACACATGAATTGAGAACTTCCAGATGTTCAAGCTGGATTTAGAAAAGGCAGAGGAACCAGAGATCAAATTGCCAACATCCACTGTATCAGAAAAAGCAAGCGAGTTCCAGAAAAACATCTGTTTTCATTGACTATGCAAAAGCCTTTGACTGTGTGGATCATTCTTCAAGAGATGGGAATACCAGACCATCTTACCTGCTTCCTGAGAAATCTGTATGCAGGTCAAGAAGCAACAGTTAGAACCGGACATAGAACAACAGACTGGTTCCAAACTGGGAAAAGAGTACATCAAGGCTGTATATTGTCACCCTGCTTATGTAACTTATATGCACAGTACATCATGAGAAATGCTGGGCTGGAAGAAGCACAAGCTGGAATCGACACTGCTGGGAGAAATATCAACAGCCTTAGATATGCAGATGACACCACACTTATGGCAGAAAGTGAAAAGGAACTAAAGAGCCTCTTGATGAAAAGTGAAAGAGGAGAGTGAAAAAGTTGGCTTAAAGCTCAACATTCAGAAAACGAAGATCACAGCATTTGGTCCCATCACTTCATGGCAAACAGATGGGAAAACAATGGAAATAGTGTCAGACTTTATTTTCTTGGGCTCCAAAATCACTGCAGATGGTGACTGCAGCCATGAAATTAAAAGACACTTGCTCCTTGGAAGAAAAGTTATGACCAACCTAGACAGCTTATTAAAAAGCAGAGACATTACCAACAAAGGCCAAAGCTATGCTTTTTCCAGTAGTCATGTATGGATGTGAGAGTTGGACCATAAAGAAAGCTGAGCGCCAAAGAATTGATGCTTTTGAACTGTGGTGTTGGAGAAGACTCTTGAGAGTCCCTTGGGCTGCAGGGAGATCCAACCAGTGCATCCTAAAGGAGATCAGTCCTGGATGTTCATTGGAAGGACTGATGTTGAAGCTGAAACTCCAATACTCTGGCCACCTGATGTGAAGAGCTGACTCATTGGAAAAGACCCTGATGCTGGGAAGGATTGGAGGTGGAAGGAGAAGGGGACAACAGAGGATGAGATGGTTGGATGGCATCACCGACTCAATGGACATGAGTTTGAGTAAACTCCGGGAGTTGGTGATGGACAGGAAGGCCTGGCGTGCTGCGATTCATGGGGTCTCAAAGAGTTGGACACGACTGAGCGACTGAACTGAAGTAAAGTGATGTGTTAGTTTTCTGGGCCTCCCATTTCAAAGTGCCACAAACTACATGGCTTAGAAATGTATTCTCCAGGTTCTGGAAGATTTAAATCTAGAACCAGGTGTCAGCAGAACTGGTTCCTTCTAGAGGTTGTGAGGAGAAAGCTCTCCGTGCTGCGCTCCCAGCCCCCTGTGGTCACTGCGTCCTTGGTGTCCTTGACGTACCCGTGCGTCACTCCGGCCCTGGCCTGGCTCCATATGGCGTTCTCTGTCTGCCTCTTGCCCTTTTCTTATAAGGACGCTGGTCACTGGGTTTGGGGTTCGCCCTAATGCAGCAGGACATCACTTTAGATTACACCTGCAAAGATCCTCTTTCTAAATGAGGTCACATTCACACATTCTGGGGATTAGGACTTCAACATTTTTTGGTGAACTTATTTTTGGGGGGAGACATAATTCAACTCACAGCAGGTTCTCTTAATTGGCTTTTCCATTTGTTGAAAACATACAGGAATAAAACAGATGTTTCATACTTTGTCTCTTGAGATTGTCGCCTTCCTGATTAAACTGTTTTCTGAAGGCCCCCTAGGGTTTTCTACATACACCATCTGTCATCTGTGAGTAGGGCCAGTTTAATTTCTTCTTTTCCAATCTTTCTAGTCTTCGTTTTATTGCCCGGTTGCACTGGGCACCTCCTGTACCAAGTGGAACCGCAGGAGTAACAGTGAGCAGCTTGCCTGATGGGCCCTCCTCAGGGACAGCACTCAGCACGTCATCCAGTGCAGAGGTGGCTGCGGGTCTTCCGGACACACACCTCGGTCAGACCGAGGAGACCCCTCCCACTCCTAGGTTGCCGGGTGGTGGTATCATGAGTGGGTGTTGAACTTTGTCATATGCTTTTTTTGCTTCTGTTGAGATGATTATATGGGGTTTTGGTTTTGTTTTTTTTTTTTTTTGGTCTGTTGTTATGGTGAATTATTTTTTTAATGTCAAGCAATCTTATATTCCTGTAATTGCACTTGGTTATATTTTTTATTTATTCTTTTTAGGATTTTTGCCTCTGCGTTCGAGAGCGATCTGTCATTTTCCTTCATGCCTTGTTTTTCTCGCGTTTTAGTGTCATAAACTGAGTTAGGGAACATTCCTATTCTGTTTCCTGAGTCTGTAGGATGTTGGTGTGTCTTTCTTAGACATTAGGAAGAGTTCACCAGGGAGTCATCTGAGACTGTAATTTCCTTTGTGAAAAGACCTTTAATTACAGATTCAGTCTATTTAAGTGACACAAGCTGTTCCAGTTTTCTGTTTCTTCAGTTTTAGGAAGCTGTGTGTTTGAAGGACTTGATCCATTTCATCTAAGCTGTCACAGGTATTAGCTCCATAAACTCTTCATGGTATCTCATCTGTTTAACGTCCTAGAGATCTATGGTGATGCTCATCTCTGACTCCAGATTTTAGCAATTTACGTTTTCTTTCTTAATCAGTCATGCTGTGGGTTTATCAGTCTTATTACTATTTAAAAGAACTATTGGCATTGATGATTTTTGTCTGTTTTCCATTTCATTGATTCTGGTCTTTTATTATTTCCTTCCATTTTCTTTGGACTCAATCTGCAGTTCTTTCCCTAGCATCTTGAGATGAGCACTTGGATCAACGAAGTCTCACCTCCCTTCATCCTAATTCATGCCTTCAGAGCTATTACATTTCCCCTGGTCACTGCTTTCGCTGTATTCCACAATTTTTAGCAACTTGTTGTTTTTATAGCAACTTGTATTTTCATTTATACTCAGTTCAAAATATTTCCAGTTTCCATTTATTTATTTTTCCCATGGATCATTTAGAAACATGCTGGGAATTTATTAGTTATCATTCTGTTACTGAATTGTTGTGGTTTAACCTTAGTGGAATCAGGCTGGAATCAAGATTAATCAAGCTGGAATCAAGATTGCCAGGAGAAATATCAATAACCTCAGATATGCAGATGATACCACCCTTATGGCAAAAAGTGAAGAGGAACTTAAAAGCCTCTTAATGAAAGTGAAAGAGGAGAGTGAAAAAGTTGGCTTAAAGCTCAACATTCAAAAAGCTAAGATCATGGCATCTGGTCCCATCACTTCATGGTAAATAGATGGGGAAACAGTGGAAACAGTGTCAGATTTTATTCTGGGGGGCTCCAAAATCACTGCAGATGGTGACTGCAGCTATGAAATTGAACGACGCTTACTCCTTGGAAAGTTGTGACCAACCTAGAAAGCATATTAAAAAGCAGAGACATTACTTTGCCAACAAAGGTCCGTCTCGTCAAGGCTATGGTTTTTCCAGTGGTCATATATGGATGTAAGAGTTGGACTGTGAAGAAAGCCGAGTGCCGAAGAATTGATGCTTTTGAACTGTGGTGTTGGAGAAGACTCTTGAGAGTCCCTTGGACTGCAGGGAGATCCAACCAGTCCATCCTAAAGGAGATCAGTTCTGGGTGTTTATTGGAAGGACTGATGCTGAAGCTGAAACTCCAATGCTTTGGCCACCTGATGTGAAGAGCTGACTCATTTGAAAAGACCCTGATGCTGGGAGGGATTGGGGGCAGGAGGAGAAGGGGACGACAGAGGATGAGATGGTTGGATGGCATCACCGACTCGATGAACATGAGTTCAGGTAAACTCCGTGAGTTGGTGATGAACAGGGAGGCCTGGCGTGCTGCGATTCATGGGGTTGCAGAGAGTCAGACAGGACTGAGCGACTGAACTGAATTGAACTGAATCTTAGCCATCACAAATTCAGTGATTAAGCTCTTTGGACCATTGTTGTGACTCACTAATTTGTCTCTCTTGGAAGCATTCTGTGTACACCTGAAAAGAATTACAGTTAGCACTTGTTGGGTATAGCTTACGTTCTACGTATGAATTAGGCCAGGTAGATTATTTTGGTTTAATCTTCTATATCCTTATCGATTTTTTTTCCCTGCTTCTTTCAGTTACTGAGAAAGGTATGTTAAAATCTCCAACTATGATTATGTATTTATCTAGTTCTTATGCTTTATATTGGTATTATTAGCCCTATGCAAATCTGGGTATATTATATACCCCTGATAAATTTACCTTTTTATCATTGTGTGACATTGATCTTTATCTCTGGTAACATTTTTTGTCTTAAAGTGTAGTGTCTGACTTTCTTGGTTAATGTTGGCGTGGTGTGTCTTCATCTTTTCTGATGGGCACACAGGCAAGACCTTTATTTGCGTCCACTGTGACAATCGTTATTCAGTCAGAGGGTTTGGTAAGTTTATTTACTGCTGCATATGTTGGGATTTTTATCCCCAATCAGGGATCAAACCCCAGGCCCCACATTAGAAGTGCAGAGTCTTAGGACTTCTTAGGACTTCCCTGATGCTCCCAATGCCGGGGGCCCGGGCTCCATCCCTGATCAGGGAACTAGATCCCACATGCCACAACTGAGAGTTCGCATGTCACAACTAAAGGACCTGAATGCTGCAGCAACTGAAGATCTTGCAGTGCTGCAACTAAAACCCAGGGCAGCCAAATAAATACTTAAGTAAGTACAGAGTCAACCACTGGACTGCTCAGGAAATCCCTCTATAACTTTTTAATTAAGTATTTCCATCCCTAGATGGTTACCCTAGAGATTATAATATGCTCCTGTAATTTATTAGTCTACTGTAAATCAATGCAAAAACCTTATAACCTTATAACTGTGTAAGTTGCTTAAGCACTCTGCTCCCCCACCTAGAAAGTTCTCATGGTTGTTTGCGTGTCTGAAAAACCTTCAAGACATTATTGTTTTAAACAATCAGTACTCATTCGTGTCTACTCATCCCCATGCTCTGCCCATTTTTCTGTATTTTTATCCAGAAGTACTTCTGACCAGCCTCAACAATCTCCATAGTATCCGTATTTCTTTTAGTACCATCTGCATATACATCTGGTTCGCTTGTGTTTGTGTGGCTGTATCTTCACTATGCCTTTTCCCCCACATGCCCTGAACTTGTAACTGTATATTGGACTGTGGATTCTGTTACCTGTGTCTGAAGAAAGATGGGTTTTGTCCAGCAGGCCAGTAGATTACTGGTTGGCTACCTGGAAGAGCGGGATGTTTTGGTGTTGCCCTAAGATGTCAACTTCACTCCTAAAATGTGGCCCCGTGAGGGTTTCAAAGAAAAACCGAGGTATGTAGCCGCCCCTAACCCTGAGGGGCAGCCGCCGGGGCCTCTGCTCATGCGTCCCGCCTGCCAGCCCCGGCGTTCCTGCCGCAGGATTCGTGGGGTCTTACTCCCAGCCTGCCCAGTTCAGGGGTCAGCCAAGGATCTGAGGGCTCCCCTCCTGTGGCTCCCTTCTCTGCAAGAAGTGCTGGGGTGTCTGCCAGGTCCTCCAGCTCCTGAGGTTGGAGGCTCCCTGTGACGCTTGAGACCGACGGCTTCCAGTCAGGCTCCTGGACACCGGGGGGCGTGGGGAGTCCCACGGAGGGTCGACACCTGAGCTGCCCCTGGAGAGAGGGCGCACGCACTCCAGGCGGGAGGGCCAGCACGGCACCCGCGTGGGGGCAGCTGCTGCACGCAGACCGCACAGCAGGGTCGGGGCCAGTGGCGAGGGTTCAGATCCCAGCTGTGTCCCCCGCTGTTGTGCCGCCCCCCTGCCCGCACTAAGGGAGAGGGGAACCCCAGCCTCCTGGCTCTCCTGAGGGTTTGCGGGATGACAGGCCCCGTGGCCCTGCACACCCTGCGCTCAGCCCGTCCTCGACTCCCACCTGGGCTGGGCCCACACTGGACCACACAGCTCTGGAGGCCCCAACAGGCAACAGCCCGCAGCTAACTCAGGCCCCGGTGGAGTGCGGCCAGGGCCCTGCGTCCCAGCCCCCCACACACACTCGCAGCAGCCGCTTAGCAAGTTCCTTTATTACAGAAAGGTCACATGATCAGTGTTCAGCCTCTGGGGGCGTGGCGGACACCAGCGCAGCGCAGCGTGTCTCAGTACAGCTCAGGGCTCGGCTCCCCGCCGCCCGGGGGGGCAAGGCCACGTGCTGGCCTCCGCCTGGCTGCTTGGGAAACCAGCTCCGCGCTAGAAGCTCCCGCTGACCCAAGAGCAGCCGAGGAGGAGGCTCAAAAGCACCCCCAGCCTGTGCTGGGGGCCCCGATCCGGATGCGGGGCCCGCCCACCACGGGCCCCCGGGCTCACTGGCAGCACTCGGCCACGTGCCTGAAGAGCTCCTCGCCCTGCTCGTCGCTGAAGCACTGCAGGCAGTGGGGGCACTGCAGGTCCCCCTGGCCTCCCTGGGTCACTCCCGAGCACCCGCCCTCTGCGGGGAGGTCCAGCCACTGGGATCCCGTCCCAGGCCTCCGGCCACCGGCCGCCACAGGCTCCGAAGCGTCGGTCTCTAAGTATCTGGGAGATCTGCTCCCCGTGTGAATCCGGCAGGAGGCTGGCTCGCGCGAATCCTAGGAAAAGGCAGGAGTCCGCTCCCGAGGCTGGTCTCGGCTCCAGTGTCTGGAGCCCCGTCCGTCGCTTGGTGGGACCCACACCTTCACTCTGGTGCCGAGGCCTGAACGAGGACGTGCCGAGGACGACTGAGGGGTCCGAACTCCTGCCTGTGCCCACGAGGGAAGAGGCCCACGTGGGGGCCACCCGCAGCACGGAGGGGCCGTGAGACCAGGACAGGCCGGCGGATGCCACCCTCCACGCACGCACACGTGCCACCCGGAGGTTTGCAGGCGCTGGGGAACCAACGTCTTGGCAGCCGCAGGAGGGCTCGAAGTGCGTGAAGGAGAAACGAAGACGACCCCCGCCCCGGGCCCGAGGAGACCCCGGCTGTACCTGTCTCCAGGATGCCTGGCGCTGCAGCAAGGCCACCTGCTCCTCCAGTTCGTGGATGCGGCTCTGCGCCCGCTCCCTGTCGGCCCTCTCCGACGTGAAGTCGTCCTTGTACGCGAGGATCTGCGGAGAGCGGACGCCCACGTCAGGAGGTGGCGGCCCCGACCCCCTGCATCTGGAGGAAGAGGAAGCCCGTCCCCCATCCCGTCAGGAGGCGGCAGCCCCGCCCCCCGGCGCCCACGGCCCGCCGCACCTGCTGCTCCAGCATCTGCACGCGCTCCAGCGCCGCGTCCCTCGCGCTCTTCGCTGCCGCCAGCTCCCGCCGCGCCTCCGCGCAGTCATCCATCTTCTCCTCCAACTGCGCGTTGAGCCGGGAGACCTCCTTCCGCATCAGCTCGGGCTCCGGGGTGGCCTGCAGGCCCTTCAGCTGTGCGTGGAGCCCCCTCACGTATTCGTCCCTGCTGGCGTCGTAGCGCTGCCACCTCGCGTTAAGGTCCTCCACCTGGGGGCCGGAAAGTGGCCTCGAGCCCGCCCGGAATACGAGGCCCATCCCCACGTGGAGGCCGGCTCCGCCCAGTCGGGGGGAGAGGGGGTGCCACCGGGACACGGTGATGGCGGAGTCGCTGCTTGAACGCTGGATTGACAGTGATCCCTGCACCTCATTCAGCAACACGCGAATTAACTTGGGGGTGGAGGACAACCAGGTGTGCTCAACACATCCTTTTGGGCAAACGTGTCGGGCCTTCGGGGACCCTGTGTATCAGCCGAAGCGGCCTCAGGGCAGGGGCGACCCCTCACCCACAGTCCGCGCGGGGCGCTAGGCCTGAGTGCGATCTCAGACACTCACGTGAGTCACCTTCTGCCTCAGCACCCGGTTCTCCTCCCGTAACTTCTCAACCACCGCGTGCACAGAGGCGTCCCCGTCTGCACACTCGGGCTGCACGAGAAAGGGACCAGAACCCGTGTGACCGCACCTTCCGGGCACCGACTCGCAGACAGCGTTGCAGCCGCCTTGCAGCAGGTGTGACAGAGACAGGAAAGGACAGGCACTTCCGGAGGGAGGGTGGTCCTGGGACGCCCAAGCCCACCACATGCGGGAGACCGCCCAGCGTCACAGGGCTGAGGGCCGGGGCGCAGCGGGGGCAGGAAGCCGAGCTCGCTGTGACCAGAGAACTTCCCGGCCCAGGGCCCCCGGCCACCAGGAGCAGGCCCCTCCCTCGTGCCCACCATCGCTCCCTTCGGGTGTGTCATGTCCGGATGACCACGGTCAGCTTCAGGCGCTGACTGTCCACGACACCCTCCCCGGGGTCGCGAGGCTGCCGGGATTCACGCCTAGAAGAGCCCGCATGCTGACCCACTCCCAGCAGGGTGGGCGGGGCTAACCGAAAGGCCATCAGAAATTCAGTCATTTAACAAAGCGGATGGATGGCGGTGACATTATTGTGAGAATTCCCCTCGAATGACAAAGGAACTGCGTGTGCTAACCCAGCGGGCTTGGGAAACCCCGCTGACTCGGCCAAGACCAGTGCTGAGAAATGACGCCGGCTTAGAGCCTCGGCCCAGGCGCGCCCAGGCCAACCACGACGGGCTTTCAGATCCCCAGAGAGAAAGGGCCCTGTGACTCAGAATCATACGAGTGCACGGCCTGCCCAGAGAGCACTCTGGTTTCTCAAATGTGCCGTGTTCTTTCTGAGGTTCCCTTTTCATGGGATCCACCCCCAGGAGACGGGGATTCTCAGACCGAGGCCCTCCCCCGCGCCCCACAGAGCTGCTGCTAGGGGGTTGCAGGGCTCCTCCCCACCGCCCCACACCCAGGGCGCGCTTCTCAGCCAACTTGTCACAGCCCCCTGCACCGCCAGGACCCCGCAGGCCCTGCTCCCGACAGCCCCCCGGAGGAGCCCCCTGGTTTCTCCAGTGGGTGCTTCCTGATGCTGAAACCCACCGGCTCCCCTGCACCCGCACTGCTCTCCCCCACAGGCCCCATCCCGAGTAGCGCCAGGCAGGGGGCACAGCACCAAGTGGGGCCCCGTGTCCTCCCTGCCCAGGCCCGAGGCCCCCCTGGGCCAGCGCTGCTCACACAGAGGCCCCCCAGTGCTTGGAGTGTGGGCACCCGGCCACTCCACACGTCAGCGCTCACTCAGGACACCCCTTCTGCCCCGCCCGGCCCTGCTACTCCCCTGCTCCCGCCGAGGCTGGGGAGACCGCAGGGCCACCTCCCCACTGGGCCCGGGGGAGCTGCAGGTTGGCTTTCGGGGGACATTCTGCAGGCCCCCACCGTCTTCGAGGAAATCCCCAGAGGCAGACGGCCCAGACCCTCCCCAAGGTGCAAGGCGAGGCCTGCTGACCCCAGGGCCTACCTCAGGGCTCTGCTCCCCCGCGGCCCCCGGTGCCCCCTGGCGTTCATCCAGACACTTGGCCAGATGCTGGCACATGTGGGCCGTGGCGGCCAGGGTCCGCCGCAGCTGGTGGGTCTCGTCGGCCAGGGAGCGACACAGGACGTGGCTGGCGGCCCGGGCCCGCTCCTTCTCCGCCACACTCCTCCGCAGCAGGGCCACCTCCTTCTCCCGCTCGAGCCCCGGCTGGCTCAGGAGCTGCTGTGCCTCCCGCTCCTTCTCCTCCAGCTGCTCCGAGAGTCTCTCAATTTCCTAAGGGGAAGATTTAAAAGCACAACTGATCTGACTGTGGTGCCGGAGAAGACTTAGGAAGACTCTTAAAAGAGTCCCTTGGACTGCGAGGAGATCCAACCAGTCCATCCTAAAGGAAATCAGTCCTGAATATTCACTGGAAGGACTGATGCTGAAGCTGAAACGCCAGTACTTTGGCCACCTGATTCAAAGAACTGACTCATTGGAAAAGACCCTGATGCTGGGGAAGATTGAAGGCAGAGAAGGGGACGACAGAGGATGAGATGGTTGGATGGCATCACTGACTCCATGGACTTGAGTTTGAGCAAGCTCCGAGAGTTGGTGATGGACAGGGAGGCCTGGCGTGCTGCAGTCCATGGGGTCGCAAAGAGTCGGACACGACTGAGAGACTAAACTCAACTGATCTGACTGAAAGAAGCAACATCAGAAATAAACTGTCACAAAGCAGAAGACAGTCAGGCAGAGACACCCATCTGTAGGTAACAAACACGTTCAAACACAGTTCATTCGAAGGCTGGCTTCTAGATGGATGATTAACTCAGGAGTTTTCAGCCCCAAAAGTTCTATCTGAAACATCATCTAAAATTCTGTTTTCAAGAGCAAACTCATAATGTTAGATTTTACATCATCAAATTACTAAGTGTGGCAATCCCAAACCTCTTGAAAGAAAGAGCAGAAACTCCCCTGCGGTGGGCAGCCCCCAAAGCCATGCCCACGTTCTCACCCCGACACCTGGGAACGTGACTTCATTTAGCTGTTTCCAAAGAGCTGTTCAGTCTATGAGGATGTAATTAGTTAAGATGAAGGCACCCTGGATTAGATAGACCCTAATCTAACGTCCAGTGTCCTCATAAGAGGCAAGTATGGACACAGAAGAGGCCACGTGTGGCGAAAGGCAGAGACTTGAGTGCTGTGTCCACAAGCCAGTGGACACCAAGGATGCCAGCAGCCACTGGAAGCTGAAGAGAAGACCCCTTGCCCACACCCTGATGCGGGGCCTCTGGCCTCTAGAGCAGATCAATATCTGCTGCCTTTGTGCTGTGCCTGCTCAGTCATGTCCGACTCTGTGTGACCCACAGACTGCAGCCCGCCAGGTTGCTCTGTCCATGGGGTTCTCCAGGCTCGAGTGCTGCAGTGGGATGCCATGCCCTCCTCCAGGGGGTCTTCCCCACCCAGGAATCGAGCCGAAGTCTCTTGTGTCTCCTGCATTGGCAGGTGGGTTCTTTACCTCCAACGCCACCAGGGAAGCCTGTCTATTATTGCCTTAGGCTGCCCAGCTTATGTTAGACCAGCTCTGGGAAACGAATATCCCCTACCAAAGTCCAAATTACCAGTGGCTTTAAGTGCCCCCAGTTGGGTTCTGCACTTGGTTCTGGGATGTCCCACTTTCAAAGTAATCTCCACCATGATGAGTACGTAAGGGAGGTGAAGCAGGAGCCAGTCCATCCTACACGTGAGAAAACAGCTTCTGGAAAGCCAGAGTGGAGCCTGAGCACGCACGGAGGGGCGTGGCGGGGCGCATCGGAGTGCTCACGCTCACCCGCTCACGCTCACCCGCTCACGCTCACCCACTCACACGAGGGGCCCAGAACCTCCCCACCACGGGGTGCAAGCCTCAGTGAGCACTCTCCTAAGTGCTTTAGAACAAAGCAAAAACATGCAGAAGTAAATAAATTAAAACTTCCTTTTCCCCAGCAGCCAGCTACACTCTCCAGAGGCAACCACTACTCACGATCTGGCCAGGGGTCTTGCCAGGGTGTTGACACGCATGTGTGGCACATGTATTCTTACACTAACGGGTCTGATAGCACTGTCCTGGTGCCCTGCTTTTCTGCTCCTTGGTAAAATAATGTGTCCCACAGCAGCACACAACCTGCCTGTTCTTTTCAACTACAGCCTGGAGCCTCACACCAGAGCACAGCTGACCGAGCACACACCTCCAGCTAGCGTGCCCTTATGCAAACACAGCCCCGGGACACATCCCTCCAAGTCTCATGGCTGGGTCTGCCTAAGCCTGGGGTTAGGAAGTGACTGTGGGGATTTCTCTGCTGGTCCAGCAGCTGGGATTCCAAGCTCCCAGTGCAGGGGGCCTGAGTTCCATCCCTTGTCAGGGAACCAGATCCCACATGCTAAACCTAAGACCTGGCACAGCTAAATAAATAAAATATAAAAAAAAAAAAAAGGAATTGATGGGATGGACCTAGAGGTTATCATACTAAAGTCAAGACAGAGAAAGAAAAAAATAAAAATAAAAAAATAAAGTCAAGAAAGAGAGACAAACACCATATATCGCTTGTACGTGGGACCTACAATATGACCCAAACACACCCACCACACAGAGACACTCACACGCGGAGGGCCCTCTCGCGGTTGCCCAAGGGCAAGGTGAGTGCGGGAGGGCTGGGGTGGAGTCTGGGATTAGGGGGTGCACCATTACACAGAGGGTGAACGAACAACAAGGCCCTACTGGACCGCGCGGGCAGCTGTGTCCAATATCCTGTGACAGGCCACACGGGAAAGAATACGAGAAAGCGCATATACTATGCACATACATACACATGTATGGGCTCAGGCGGTAAAGAACCCGCCTGGGTTCAACCCCTGGGTTGGGAAGACGCCCTGGAGGAGGGCACGGCAACCCACTCCAGGATTCTTCCGGAAACCCCACGGGCAGAGGACCCTGGTGGGCTACAGTCCATGGTGCTGCAAAGAGCCAGACACGACTAAGCGGCTAACACAGACCCATACACGTACACATGCACAGTTACATGTGTCCGTGTAACGGACTCACCTTGCTGTATAGAAGGAATTAATGAAACACTAAATCAGCTATACCTCAATAAAATTAAACAACTGGGGGACTCAGGAGCACGGCCGGGCTCTGGGTCCCTCCCTGGGCCCAAACCCACGTCCGTGAGGTGAGAGCTGCTCCCTGGGCATCGGTGACGCCCCATCCACAGATAAGCCCGGCACATGATGGCAGCATCTAACCAGGTGACCAGAAAATCCTCCGAAAGCCTCGTCCTCTTTCTCTCGGGGAAATTTTTCCACGCAGCTTACAGGCTCTCAGTTTCCCGACCAGGGATCGAACCCAGGCCCGTGGCGGTGAAGGTGCAGGGTCCTAAGCACTGGAGCACCAGAGAGCCCTCTCGGGGTTTTAAGAGGACTCTTTTCCCCGTTTTCCTCAGACTTCGCTCTAGAAGTGACAAGAAAGACAGGAAGGGAGGGAAACTCCATTAGAAGAGTGAGCCCGCCTGGCTCTCTTGGCAAAGGCCTCGGGGAAGGTGCTGCCCTGGGTCCTTGTTCCATGTCAGGGACTCACTCATGAAGGCGGCAAGGGGACAGCAGGTGTCCTCGAGGGCGGCAGGTGAGGAAGTGAGGTCAGGCCCTGGCAGATGGGCCATGTCCAGCACCAGGTGCACGAGAAATCAGCAAAGTAATGTCTCTGCTTTTTGTGCACTGGCGACAACGGGTGTGAGAAGCATCAGCGGATCAACCCTGCCAGCGGGAATCTTGCCCAAAGGCATCCGGCGCTGGCACGCCATCAGCCCATCGCACCTCACTACCCTCTGACCTCATGGCATCAGAGCCAAGCCGGGCAAGGCCCGTTCTTGAAAGGCCATTACTTCGTCCTTCCTTTCGGCCCTGATGACCTCACCGCTGGGCCAAAGGAGGAAAAGAGGCCTCTCTCTGGACCTGGCCAGCGGGCATGAGTACCTCCTCCCGGCACCCAGCCCTCCAGTGAGTCATTTCTTCACATCAGGTAGCCAAAGTACTGGAGCTTCGGCTTCAGGATCAGTCCTTCCAAAGACTATTCAGGGTTGATTTCCTTTACAATTGACCGGTTGGATCTCCCCACGGTCCAAGGGACTCTCAAGAGTCTTCTCCAACACCACAGTTCAAAAGCATCAATGCTTCAGTGCTCAAGACTTCTTTATGGTCCAACTCTCACATCCATACATGACTACTGGAACAACCATAGCTTTGGCTACAGGAACCTTTGTCAGCAAAGTAATGTCTCTGCTTTTTAATATGCTTCTAGGTCAGTCATAGCTTTTCTTCCAAGCAGCAAGCGTCTTTTAAAAGATTTCATGGCTGCAATCACTATCTGCAGTGATTTTGGAGCCCCCAAAAATAAAGTCTCTCATTGTTTCCATTGTTTCCCCATCTATTTGCCATGAATGAAGTGATGGGACCCAGATGCCATGATCTTAGTTTTTTGAATGTTGAGTTTTAAGCCAGCTTTTTCACTCTCCTCTTTCACTTTGAGGAGCCTCTCTAGTTCCTCTTTGCTTTCTACCATTATTCCCAGCATTTCTCATGATGACTCTGCATATAAGTTAAATAAGCAGGGTGACAATATACACCCTCGACATACTCTTTCCCCAATTTGGAACCAGTCCATTGTTCTATGTCCAGTTCTAACTGTTGCTTCTTGACCTGCATACAGATTTCTCAGGAAGCAGGTATGATGGTCTGGTATTCCCGTCTCTTGAAGAATGATATACACAGTCAAAGGCTTTTGCATAGTCAATGAAGCAGATGTTTTTCTGGAATTCCTTTGCTTTCTTCTATGATCCAATGGATGCTGGCAATTTGATTTCTGGTTCCTCTGCCTTTTCTAAGTCCACCTTGTACACCTGGAAGTTCTTGGTTCATGTACTGTTGAATGAAGCCTAGCTTGAAGGATTTTGAGCATTATCTTGCTAGCATGTGAAATGAGTGCAATTGTGCGGTAGTTTGAACATTCTTTGGCATTGCCCTTCTTTGGGATTGGAATGAAAACTGACCTTTTCCAGTCCGGTGGCCAATGCTGAGTCTTCCAAATTTATAGACATATTGAGTGCAGCAATTTAACCATCATCTTTTAGGATCTGAAATAGCTCAGCTGGAAATCGATCACCTCTATCTACTAGCTTTGTTCACAGTGATGCTTCTTAAGACCCACTTGACTTCGCATTCCAGGATGTCTGGCTCTAGGTGAGTGATCACACCGTCTG